CGCTGCACCAGATCAAGGCAACAAAAACCCTGATGATTTGAGGGGTAGCCAAGGAAGACACATGAAGTGGTACAAGGGGCGAGTTTGTGTGGAGTTGGAATATGGGGGTAGCACGAGTACCCAAAGACACAAGATAGGAATATGATGGTTGTTTTGGAAACAATTTGGTAAAAGGAATGTCAATTTGGATCGAAGTGGAGCGTACGATGTTGATGAGATGTGTAGCCATGTGCAGTACTCCATCCAATAAGATAAAGGAAGATGTGTGTGAAATAGAAAAGTACAGACAACATTATTGATTGTATGGATTATCATTTTGTTGGGATGCACGGGGGCAAGAAAAATGAATTTGCATTCCATTGGAGTCGAAGAGATAATGGAGAGAAGTATTGTCAAACTGCCTTCGATGATCGCATTGGATTGATTTAATTTTACAACCAAATTGAGTCTTTACATAAGCAGGAAAATGGAGAAATTTGGTAAAAGAATCAGATTTCCAACGAAGCGGGAAAATTAGTCCAAGAAGATAAAATAATAGTTTATACCACTAATGATGGAAACCCGAGAAGTCCATAAATCAGAATGGATAATATCAAAAACATAATCGATCACAGACTCGAAACGTCTAAGTGGGAGTATAACATAATTGCCTAGTTGACAAGTATGACATGACATATTGGAATTTTCTTTACTAAATGTATAATAAAATGACAAGACATTAATGAGTGAAGTACATTGTCACCGGTATGACCTAAGCGTTGTTAACATGTTGACTGACTAGGCAATACACGAGCAATTGGAGAAGAGGTGGTGACAGTGGCGGATCCAGAAACTTTTATAGTTGGGGGCACACTTAGGGGGGTGTATAATTTTTTTTTCAAAACCAAATAATTCATCCGGATGAAAATGGTTTTAGATTTTTCTTTTCGGCTTAAACGGTTCAGTTAACCGAATAAAGACAACTTATTCAGGCCGATTTTCAGTTGAATTTTTACTAATTCATCGAGGTGTATAAATTTTATATCTTATATTTCGAATGGAAATATTAGTGTATGCTGCAAATTGACCAATTAACAATCAAGATATCAAGTTGGGGCCTAGCCTTGTTCTTGTTGAACGCACAATATGAAAATTTACTAAACAAATCTTTTATAGATTTTTTTTATAAAAATTGGTGGGTTTGTTGGGGGCCTATGTAACACCCATATTTTTACCATGAGAGATGTTACGTAATCTAAAACAGATTCTCCAAAAGCACTCCAAAAATAATGACTAAATTAATACTTTAGACCGTTTATAGCGGAAGACTTAGAAAGAATAAATATATAACTTAAAGTCAGCCCGTCCCATACCGGGTTGCTTTACAAATTTATATACCATAGATTATTGCACCTAAATATTGAACTTAAATGGACTAGACAAATCTCTATGTATGCCCTTCTTTTTCTTTGTCCAACCTGAAACCTTCTGTCCCTGAGATGCATACTATACTCAACTTATAAAGCTCAGTGAATTCATGGTTTGCGTGAGTAAAAATCATTTCACATCATACATATCAACTTGTAAACTTTGTACCAAATAGTATGCATTTTCTGGAAAAAAAAACATGCAACACTGAAAGAAAAGAGATCTCATAATTTGTCTGTCAGGTATGAGTCATTTAGTCACTGGCATTCCCTGAGTTGTCCGACCTGCACCTGTCTAGACACTCATTACGGGGTTGTGCCACTTGTCATGTGACTTCTTGGTCAAATGTTCACCCGCTAAAACTGATCATAAAACTTTCAAATGAAATAACATGCTAGAGTTATTTGGAAACAAAATAAACACATAGCATGCAACTAATCATAAAATAACATACATGTAAAATATATCATGTATGTAAACTGAAACATCATGCATATGTACACATTATCATATAAATCATATAATGCTCGAAAACAAAATTATACATATGTATGCATCCCATTGTAAGTCTCATGAAGACTCACCTGATTGCGTATAGATTGACTACCGATAGCTCTTGACCAAATGCCTACACATTTCATACCATAATATCTTATTAACGTCTTAATTTCTCAAAAAGTCAACGAAAATCAACTATTGTCATTCTGACCCAACCTAAAGTCAAACTTCGCATCCGAGCATCTTAATATGCCTCAAACAACTCTATTTAACCAATCATTAAAATCCACATAGGTCAAACATGTCAAAAGTCAACCCTTGATCAACTCGGTCAACCCCGACTAATTTTAGTCAAACCCCATGACTAAAACTCGACAACGACTTAAAACATCAAAACAAACATTTTATGATCTTATAAATCAAACTCTCTAATTTAAAGCGTCTCTATAATTGATTAACTCGGAAATACGACACTTTAATCTCAATATTAAATCATCAAAATAAAAGAAACCTCTCAGTATTATGTCTGATAACAACTCTTAACGTCGATTTAACCTTTTAACAACTAAATGAGACTTATGTTTCATATTAAGATGTCTTAGACAACTGATAAAATCAAATTCCGACAACTAAGAGAATATTTATTAAATTACTAATCAATTTAATAAACCACTTAGGAAAAGATTAATTAATCACTATTAATTCTCTAAAATAAGTTAATATGTTAGTTAAATAACATACTATTTAAAAAAAAAATTTAAATTAATTAAACAATATAACTTATACAATATAATAAAATGGAATAATATACTAATTGGTTAAATTTGGCATGGTTAAATTAATTATCCAAATACACCCAAGATGTTATATGAACTAAATCTTAAGTCCAAAAATAAAACAATCCCACGATAAAAGTAAGAACCAAATAAAAACGGCCCAAATGGCCCGCATCAAGCCCAGATGGCTTCTGCACTCTCCCAACAGCGCTGGCGACCGGAAAACTGTCCCTTGCCTTCAATCCTTCATTGTTTTCGATGATTCTTTTTCTTAAAACTCTAGAAAACGATTTTCCTTAATCATAGGAACAAAAATCAACGAAAACCATCAAATATTGAGTCTCATACGCTCGTTTAAAGTTATGGTCTTAAAACAACTCGAAAATCAGTAAAAAACTCAAAATCGAACATCCAAAACTAAAATCTTAGATATAAAGCTACTAAGGTTTCATAGAGGACCTAAAAATGAAGCCAACCATATAAAGAACTCGAAATTTGGTTGAGTATTTTACCTCCAATCGTCAATAAACGGAGCTTTTTGAACTCGAACTTCAACCTCCAATTTCTCTTTCGAAACTCGATGAAACTTTGGTTTTCTTGAAGCCAAAGTGTAGAGAAAAGTGTTGGCTACATATACCTGTTCTTTTTTTGTCTTAATAGTTGACGATTCGAACTGATATAAAGCTTCAAAGGAGAGGTCGTTTTCGCGTTTCTGAATTTTCAGATCTGATGTATATTTACAAAACAGGTCCTTCTGGTTTGGACCTGTTAACCTCTTACCCAACCCTTAACTATTATAAAATAGCATTCGGCCCCCTGCCTCTATCACTTTTGAAATCTTTACACATTTCACGCCTAATATGACATTTTCTTTCATTTTTAATCCAATTTTCAAATATATTTGTATATTTTTTTCCAATGAAATAAAATTCATTTTATTTTCCTTGTTCTTTTTGTTTTCTAATTTATTTATTTACCTCATTTTGGGTGTCATAGCCTAGGACTCCTACCACAATGCACTAGATCCGCTGGGTGGTGACAGGGTAGAGATTGCTAGTGCTATCACATTGGAGGATAGTTTTTTGAGTTCGTAATCCTTCACATGAAAAATTCATCAAATTCAGTAGAGCATTTATTATTTCTTGTGAATTGAAGAACAAAGATGAAGTTTTTAACAATATTGAGAGTGACGAGGACATTGTGAAGAATGTTGAGGACGATAAAGGTTGACAGTTCAGCATGTCCTGTATGAGTAATATGGACAGAGAACCATCACCAACTAACACAGGTTTAATCATGTTCTTATTAAAAATGGTTTTGAGTATACCTGAGTCCATATGAAGGTGAGATGTAGCACCAGTGTCCATGTACCAACTAGCATCTTCGAGATCATTTAGGGTGTGTTGGTGTCCAGACAAGACAGGATAGTACATGACGGAACAAGACAAGACATAACAAGATAAAACAACGTTTGGTAAGGTAAAACTGGACAAAACAAAACAAGTAAAATGACCAATTTACCGTCGATGACTTGTTTATTTTAATTAATTTATGTAATTTATTAAATTATAATAGAATAACTAACTTTTATAACAAAATATATCATTTGAAGTTTTCGCCAAAACAATTAAAATGACACCAAATAAACAGTTTATGTAGCTTCCAATTTTTATTTTTATCTCTTTTCTACATTATTTTTTATTATTAATATATATTAAATTACATAAATTAATAAAAATATAGAAACCATATAACAATAATATTTTGAGGACAGTAAAATGGAAATTTAAGAAACATAAAATATAATAAATAAAATTTAAAGAATGAATAAAATGTAAAAAAAAGACCTATTTGATGTTTTAGAAGAGAATTAAGTTTTATTTTAAAGTTATATTAGTAAAATATAAGTTTGTTCCACCTTGTTCCACCCTGTTCCATAGGGTAGAGGTAGAACATGCTTGTTCCACTTTGTTCCTGTCTGTTCCACATAAAAGTCATGCCAAACATGGAACATGAATCTCTGTTTTGTTTTGTCATGTTTAATGTACCAAACGTACCCTTAACGACATAGTGTTGAACATTTGAGGAAAGGTACTAGCTTGATCAACCCGGAGTTAGAAAACCAGCCCCAAGGTGGAGCAACATTAGAGGAGTACACCTGCATGGTTTGTTGTATTGGTGGGTCAAGGTTGTGATTACCCAAATCCTAAGTTAATATAGTGTAGGGTTGGTTTGGTTTTTTCTATGATTCTTGAAGGGCCTATGTTGTAAATATTGGTCTAAAAGGTTAAAAGGTGAATTTTCTCCTTCTACCAGACCGTGTTTTATATCTTTGTGTGTGCGGGTGTGGAAAAGCTTCCATTTGAGAGAATACCTTGGAGAGGAAGCTATGGAGCTTTTAAAGAAATATTAATCTAATGGATTCGTTTTGTGAGGTATGAATTATCATCCTTGATTACTTTAAGATCTTATCATTATTATCAAGGGTTTACCTTTAATTGTTTGAGGGTTTTGGATCTCAAATGATCGTTTTAGTGTAGAAATTATGGATCTATGGTGTAAATATTTGAATTGTTTGAATTTAGTAATCGATTTTGTGATTGGCGATGGTTTTATTTATGAGAACCTTGGATTTGATCAAGTTCTTGAGTTTTAATGATTTAGCAGTTTTGAAACTGATTTGAACCAGGATTTTGGGGTTTTGAGTTATTGAAGTTGTGATTTCTTTGATCTTGTTGATTATGTATGCCTTTGTTGATGCTATAATGTATTAGGTTAATGTCGGATTTATGTTACAATCAATTTTGGAAAGTTAGATATAGATTTCTGGGATAAAAATCGTGTGTTCGGACAGTGCAGACGAAACAGAGGGTTCTGCACAAGGAAGTGGCAGCTCTGTAGCCACTGTGTGAAGTCAGAGGTGTGCATAACTAGAACTTGGTGACCCTTCTGTATACTTAGGGGCCGTTTACCAAATGTTTACTCGGGTAAGCACTTATCAAGTCATATTTCCTTACCGGATGAATATGACAAGTACCAAAAATCTTACCTGGTAAGAGCGAATGCACGAATCGAGAGTCTTACCCGGTAAGTGATGACGATGACTCTTACCACGGTTAGCGCTTACCGGGTAAATTATTATATACTATGTCGTTTGGTAGACTAAAATCTTATCTAATAAACAAGAGATAGAGTTGAATTTTACCGTTAAACGCTTACCGGGTAAGTGTTTAGGTAAACGGCCCCTTAATCGAGTAGGAATGTGGTCTTTTGAGTCTTCATTCGTTTTTAGCATATATTTTATGAAATGACGTTAAAATATGTGTTTGTTTTATACAGTGGTTTACTAGGAATTCACTAGACCTTTCGGACTAACCTTCATTTTCAAAACTAAAACATTTCCAGGTGTATATTTTGTTGAGATTGCTAGCATGGGAAGGGTAAAGCTGTAAACCTTGAGATGGAGGTGGTTTCAGCTACCGCTCGATTGTTTAGACTATGGTAAGAATCTTAGCTTCATGTAGATTTATTTTTTTCTGCTGTAAATTTTGTAGAGATCTTGAGAGAATTGTGCTAAATTTTGGGAATCGGGGTGTTACAGGTGCAACCCATGGTGGCGGGACAACCCACCTATCGGGGTTCCATGGATAAGCGCAAGTCGTATTAGTAGCACATAGATTGTCGATTGTCATGGCGGTCGTTCGTCTGGACCATCTATCACTCAGACGACCTGACCCTCGATGCTGTTGTAGTTGGTTCTGGCTTACGGTTTTTAAGACAGTAGGGGATGAATCGTATTTCAGTGGCTTCGTATTGTATAATTTTCAGTATAATAATATTATTAGATCTTTTCATCGTAACATATGGTTGTTGTAGTTTAAGAATGGCCAAAGAGTATTGACCTCACCCAAGTGGCTTACTCACCCTGGTCCCATCGGAAGACACCATGGTTCTATGGTGTCTCGAGCCTACTTCAACTTCAAGCCCACATGTCCCCTCCATTTTTTTAATTGTGCACCTCACATGAAACCCCCCATAAAGAAAATACGTGGGTTGCTTTTTAATCGTTTGTTTTCATCAAATAATTATTGGGGAATTTAAATTTTGTGGTTCATGTCTCTTACAACTCCAGAAATATTATTATTTTTATTTAGAATGAAATATCAAACATGAATAAATAATTAAAATTTTGATAGGTGTTTACAACTTGTTCAAAATAAAATAATAAGTTGGCATATCCGTGTTGTATTCATAAACCTAGATGATGAAATTTGGGTCCAGCACTTGGGGCAAACTGTTTGGCATGGGATGTGACCGGGTCCTAATATGATAATTTATACGATCGATAAGTTCAGTAGTGACCCGTTGGTAGGGATGGCAAAAAAAATCCGAAACCGACGGTGAAAACCGAAACCCGAAATTTTTGGGTCCGGTTCGGAGACATTTTATCGGGGACGAGGAGGGGATCAAGGACGAATTCGGGGATTTTAACGGGGGCGGGGACGGTGATCACCGGCCCGGCCTGGCCCGATATGCATATATATATTAATTTTAATTTATATATATACATATATATATATATATATATATATATATATATATATAGGGTTGGGTTCACGTGAGACCAGCCTGTTTTCGTGAGACCCGTGAGACCACGTTTTTACACGTAAACTTCACAGCAAAAACACTGTGAAGGTTTTAAAAAGTCGAACCTTCACAGCAAAAACACTGTGAAGG